AAAGAGGACTTTACCCTTTTGAAAGCCCAGATTGTGCAGCGGTGAAGGTTACAGTGATGTTTTACCACGATGACAAGGTGGCGACAGCGGGTGAAAGACTGGCAGGAACAGACGCTCCTGTTTTAACAGAATTTACGGTGGAGCTGTGGGAATTGTTTTCAAAGTGTCCAACACACCTGCTGATATGCAGAAGAAACTGCATAGAGTAATTAAACTCAAGAAAAAAAGTTTGATGTGCACATAAGCACGAGAGCTTCTGTGGTGATTTCATAATGATGACAAAACGGATACCTGCTGCCTTCAGATGGCTGTACAAATAATCACCAGTGTAAAAAGAAAGGCCTTTAGTGTCATACTAAGACACACCGGAGAAAACAAGTGTTGATATTCACATGTTGAAAAGAACCCTACCCAACGCCTGCAAGCTGTTTCTATTGCCATGTTTAATCCAAGGCGGCCTATGAGTGCAGAAGATTGGTTTTACCGTTATATAAACAGTAGCCGTTGAGAGTTTGAGGAAAAATAAGGTGCGGTAAATGCTCTTTCAGTGCATTTCATTCACACTGTGAAGAGAAACTGTCCTTCGGCGGTTGCTTATGACAGAGCTTTGATTTGTTTTGAAGATTTCATTGCATTTTTATGATGTTGCAGAGGAGGAGAGGGAAGAGAGAAAAACTGGAGACATGGAACAGAGTGGACGGATGAAAAACAGAGTGAATGAGTTGCTCAGTCTGAATAGGCCCTTGGGCGGCCTCATGGCAATGCCAGACTCTCCAATTTGGCTCAAGGCTTTTGTCGCATGCCATACCTCATTTCTCTCCCGCTTCTGCTGTCATTCTCCACTTCATAGCATGTATTAAAGCATTTAATCCAAGGACAAAGGAAATGATTTACCACGTCATGGGGCCTCCTGTGAGATACTACATCATCTTAGACTACTGATAGGACAGGAGGCGGTCAATCAGAACCTCAGTGCAACGTCTTTACACACATATATGTGCAGAAATGTGTAAACAAAATGTCCCCACAGTCATTCTCCTCCTACATACATGCTTTTTCCTTATTTTGTCTGAATGTTTGCATCTCTCTTTGCATCTCTTTAGTCAGCCTCTTTCAGGTTTGTAACCTAATCACAGTGGGGCTGTTATAGAGTCGTTCCACAGGAACCAGAGGACGGGAGCGGCAGAGCGGATGCAGCTCTCAACCGAGTTTAAGCACAGCTCTCCACGAACCATTTTCCCTCGTAACGGGACGTGTTTCCTGGCAGCCGAGAGTCGCTGGAGGGCCACTCACAGGGACGGGCACAGCACCTGTCTGGCTTTAGTGTGTTTTGTTCCGCATGAACATGATTAGGTTGACTCGTCCGTGCCCAGAGTCCTCTGACCCAGAGTCCTCTGACCCTGAGTCAGTGGGCCTTTGAAAACTCTTGTGCATAAAGAATGCAGCAGTTGTTATGCAATAGTCTCATATAGCTCGGCATCACATAAAACCCCAAAAGTCCTCATTGCATTCTAGGTTGTGTATGTTGGTGTGTGTGTGTGTGTGTGTGTGTGTGTGTGTGTGTGTGTGTGTGTGTGTGTGTAGACGGAGCCGAGGCTCCCAAAGAGTCCTGGCATACATACTGTATTTATGAGAGCTTAATTTGGTCCGTGAGATGGCACGGAGGGGTGAGGGGCCACCCTGACATGTTATACCAGTACAGTCTGTGTGACCTCATGACACAAACCAGCAGCTTGTCAGCAGTCCTGTAAGCAAACCACATCTGACTGGCCAGCAACGGGATTCCAGACATTAACATGCATTGCTGTAGATGAAACATGACGCAATGGAATCGACCATTAAAAGCTTGTTGGCGGATTGATGATTTGTTTGATCTCTGTCCTTCTGCTTCTTCTTTATTCAAATAGGTAAAATTCTACCATCGTGGAATATAATTTTTGTTGTTATAATTATAATTATAGAGCACTCTTGACAATGTGACCCTTCCATGGTACACCATACATAACAGTCCGGGCTCAAAACATCTCCCCCTTCATTTGCTCTGTGCCTGTTCACCCCCCCCCCCCCCTTCCTGCCTTCACTTTCGTCGCTTCTTGTCTCCGTTGCTGAGCAGAGGCCCTGAGCCCTGCGGAGCGCACATCCATTTTGAACCCGGAGGCTGTCAGGCATGCTGTTGGTAAATGAGCAAGCTAACCTGTGGCTTTCAGTCTCCCCACTTCCACTTATCCTTTCCCCCGTCTCTACTTTCCATTCCATGTTTCCCTAACCCTCTCCCTCCCTCCTCTGCAAGCCCCATCGTCGATATATTCAAAGCACCTTGGAACAGACCTTTTCCCAGTTAGCCTCGAGTCAAGTTTTGTTTTCAAATTAAAGGAAAACAAAGAGTAGTCCAACACAGGAACATAGTTTATTTATATTAGATGTAGAGCCTGAGGCAGAGGCGTATTTGACAACAGAATGACTCATACAGATCAATGATGAATTTCTTGCAAAGTTTTATACAAACACCGCCCTCCTTACTTGCTACTCGGAAAAAGGAATGGGTTTAACTTTAAAAGAGAGACAGCATGTTGCAGATGTTGCGTGAACAGCGGCTACACAGCAGGTATAAACAATCAGGCACAGAAAACAGAGCCCAGGGCCAGCGTATGTTAAGCATGTTCATTACTTTTCGGGACTTTCTCTCCTGCTGGCCCTGCTTGTTTCCTGGACGTGCCGTGGATCTTAATAGGCTTTGGATCCCCTGCTCGCTGTTATGATGCACACAGAAATGCCCAGAGAGAGGGAGGGAAATAAGGGAAAGGTGGCGCAAGATGCAGGGTGATAAATAAAGACAGAAATGAACAGATAAAGAACACGTGTCAGTGGAACAGGAGAAATAATGGCTGGACTGCCTGACTGAAAGAACTTTTAATTGACTAACTGTGCAGTGTCTGCACATATAAATACAAGACAGTATTAATAAAAACGTCACTGGCATCAACTTTAGTGTACTTCTGCACAACAAGCAAGCCTGCGCACACAAACGCTGACACGTGCCTTTTGGATGTCACGGTAATAGCTACACATGTATAGTCTTAGTCGCACACTGTGTAAGCAGCTTGTCACCCAAACAGGCAGTTTGCTTTACCTTTAATGGGCCGGCTCTATAGGTTAAACAATGACGCTGAACCAGCCTAGAACTGTGTTAACTATGCAGGGCTGGAGGGCACTAAAGAGGACCCCATCACGAGCGGCTTCCTGTAGCCCCTCTGTTCCACCAGGGCCCCCATGCGGATCCCCGTCTCTCCAGAGAGACTTCAAAGGCAGGCATTTGCAGACCTGATGTAGGCGTTAACCTTTGACTCAGAGGCTCTCTCTGTGCAAACAGGGACAGCCTAATTGACGCTATGCACTGCAGAAAAGGAATAACTTGTCCTCGTGGATTGCAGCCATAGAATAGAGTGCTTTAATTTCCGCCTCTTACAGTTTATGGAGACACAGTTTATGGCTGTGCATCTACCGTAGCAAAGTGGCCACATTTTTTTAACGACCTCTATTTACCAAGAGTTTGCATCTAGAAATGCTGCTGTATATGACGTTCTGATTCCTTGGCTTAAATATGCCCTCAACGTATCCTCATACAACAGTTCGTATGATATTTATTATTTACTTTTGCGTTTTCCAAAGAAAGTCCAGCAACACGTGTCATTACATGCATATAGTCTTTTCAAAATAAACTTCCATCTTCAGAAGAAGCAACTCTAGGTTTAGCTAGCAACAAAACTACTCTGTCTAGGAAGAAGTGCAATCATTTTTGAAGGTATATCTACAAACACTGTATGAGAACAACCTGCCTGGCTGCCTCTCAGAGAGGTGGGGAGATAATCCAGACTGATAAAGGGATGTGGTGACTGAAAAAAACCATAGCAGGGGTCTTCTGCATGGACAGACGGAGGAGTTGACGGATGCATATCTGTGATGTGTCTACAGGTTGCCATTCCTGAACTTGGCATACAGGAGGGGAGATAAGTTCAGATCACTAACAGGAAGTTGTTCCGAGTCACATGTTGTGACTGTGATTTTATAAAATGAATTCTGTGGCTTAAGAAGAAGGAAGGGAAGTTAAAAGCAGCTTTTCCCTGTGCACATTGCCTCATGGTGTCAATATTTCAGGGCTCTTACTTTGAATTTTGTCCAACTTTTCCTCTGCATCACTTCGGTGCCATAGTGAAATATTGGAGCTGTAAGATGGAACAAGAAGCTCTGACATGGCTTTCCACACTGCCAAATCAATAATGAATCAGAGGTGGAGCCATGGTTTCCATTTACTGAAAATGCTGAATACTTCCCTTTTTGGTTAAATGATGGTGTTTTCAAGGCTGTCTTCATTAGGGTCCCATCTTATGTGTCTTTGCCAGTTAACCACCACTCACTCACACAGCCGACTGCATCCAAGCGGTGGCGCGGTGTTGTGGCAGAGCGTTTTGCCAACAGTGATTCCAGTGGCGTGCTGCCTCGTGTATACGAATTCATGAGGAAATTCAGATCCAGAACCTGTGTGTGCTCAGTTTGTGTGCTGAGTCATCAGTCAAAATGGGAACTTTACACGTTTGTCCTAATTTTGTGAGCAACACTACAATGAAGCTTCTGTAGGCCAGCGTGTCATTGGGGTTGCATCTATCTAAACTGAACGACTCCCAAATGGCATCTGGTATTAAGGCTGATGTGTGTCCCGAAACACACACTCTCACACACACACACACACACACACACACACACACACACACACACACACAGGGTTGCTAGAATGTTTTCCTCCAGCCTGGATCCCAAACAGCTCCCTTGGGCTCTGAATGTCTTTGTGTCCCAAACTGCCATTGAAACCTTTGAATTGGTTGACATTGATACTAAATTAGCTGTTTTTCTTATTTTTTTTTACAGGATACGGATCTACTGGATATAGCGTACATAAAAGATGCCAGAAATGGAAAGTGCACCAAAACGCCAAAGGTAAGCCTGCAATTAACTGAAGTTATTTGCTTGCCCAGCCCAGAGTACTTGAATATGTTTATGTCTCTGTGCCATCCCATTCGCTTGACTGCAAAATCTAGTGAATGTCTTCAAATTTAGCACAAAGGATGAACTGATTAGAATTTGGTGGTCAAAAAAACACATTTTTGGCCATAACTCAATAATTCATATGCTTATAATCAAGATTTCTGATAAGATAAAATGACAAAGTGAACCTTACTGGTTGGTGGAGAGATACTACTGCGAGATAGTGATTCTAGTTCTTCTACACACTATTATGTGTTCAATCAAGAACAATAGTTTCACTATTGTTCTTGTTTTGGTCCCTTGAGGCTCTGGAAACACAACGAGCTGTGTACCGAGAAGACAGAGGAGGTCTTTTTTTGAGCGATGATATGCTTTGTAAGTGTTTATTTTTGCACAGAAATGAAAGCCATGAGTGGGTGTGAGCCCGACCACGAACTGTCTGCATCCATCTAGCCGTGAACTCGGTTACAGACTGGATTGTTTGAGGTGGTTGTATTGGTTGAGACTTGTATGTTCACAAACGGGTGTAGTTGTTTGTATGGGAGGTGGAGTTAGTGTAGTTGTCTTTCATACAACCTTCAGATCTTCATATTCTGCATTGATGTGACTTGTGGTTGATATGTATCGGGTGCGGCTCTATGGATGGTGTTCACAATTCATCTGCATGCATTGTATACAGTTCTCAGACAGTGATGTGAAGAGAAACGCGAGGAAGTGAAGCTCAAATGACAATTAAGTTTGACAAACATGATTTGAAATCAAACCCACACAGTACATGGATGGTTTCCACTTGCCGGGGTATCCAAATTGCTATTTCACAGCTCATTAAAAGGTTTTTGATTGTGAGCGATGAGAGAAGAATTTGTACACATATTTCTTTTTTAATCTGGCACGCTGCAAACTGTCGAATGAATTTGGCACATTCTGGTGCCGTAACTTGCCAAGCAATGATTAGAACAATAACCTGCATTCTTTTCCACTTTCTCTTCATATATACCTGCTTAATGACAAAATTCCACATATCTGTTGGACCTATTTAGTCTTGTGATGAGCTGCTGTTACATAGCAGTGGCGGTCTTCATCGTTTTGACTCAGTGCAGCGGGAGAAGCGAGTGGGGGTCACGCACTGCTGCTCTGTCGGGGGAGTGAGTAATGATGGAATGAGTACAATAACACAGAGAGGATTCGTGCATTTCTAAACAGCTTACAGAGTGATGCTACCCAGGGAGAAGACATGGCCACGTGACAGGTAAGATGGTCGAAGCATTGGAAATCCATTACTGGGTGATGGAGCGGCGATGCACCCTGGGCATTGTAATGGGAGCACCAGTGAGACACATTGTCTGAAGAGTTGATGGGATGAGGAGAGGAAAGGGGAGAGGGAGGGGGAGAGGGATGGAGAGACTGTGGGGATGAGAGGACGGAAAGCAGAGAGAGCAGAGGGGAGGATTTTATGTAAGGTCTGCAGAAGGATGAGAGGAAGGACACAGAGATGTTCAAAGGAAGACGTCACGCGAGAAGCACAGATAATACCAGACAGCACTCGCTGTAAGTGGACAGCGCGTTTCAAGGCTTGCTTCTCAAGTATTTCTCCTTCACACGTTTTAAGGATCTTGCCCGAATGGTGAAGGTTGGTTTTTTTTCAACGATCATCACTGTGCTGTTAACTTCCCCTAGTCAAACAAAAAGCTTTTTAAATGATGGGGTTGGTTAAGCAGAACACAAAAACTGATTTAGACAAGTACAGAAATCTGAATAATAATAATGATAATTTCATTTCTATGTAACGATACATATCACGACATAGCATGTTTTCTAGGTCAATAAATAAAGAGTCCGTATGAAGTTACCGCATTTTTTGTTATTCTTTTGTGTGCTTTAAATACTTGTATTTTCTCATTTAATTAAGAATTATAATCAGCTTTTCTGAAACATTTTGTTAGATATGTGCTTGTTTTCAATCAATTAAGATGACGTAATTGTGTATCACGATGTCTCGATATGTGATTACTCACAATATTATTCCATTGAAAGATGATAAGAACCATATGGAATTATTGCCAAGCTCTAATTGAAACATTTTAAACAAATTTGAATCCACCCAAGTTAAAGATGCTTCCTTCCAATGCATGTTACTGAAATTGGGAGCAGATTGAAAGAGTAAAATCTTTTTCCAGCAAACATTTCAAGTTTGAATGTAATAGTTTTCAAGACATACTGCACATACAATGTTTTACCGTCTTGTTGTTGCGTCTGTTGATTTTATATTTATATGCTCTCTCCTCTTTGAAGCCCGTACCGCTCTTCTCCTCTCTCGCTCAAGAGCTCCCTTGGCAGCGCTCATTCATTCATGCAAATTGCTGGAAACCAACACACTCACCGAGACGAGACGTAGATGTTGAACTCGTGATGACATGACGGTAAAAAGCTTCAGAAGTGCTTTTATTGTGACACTCAAGAGTCCCGTGTCTAAGCCCGATATTGTCAGGCTCCGATGCAATCATCCTCAACAGACTGGAAATGGGCTCCAGATGGAAGGGCTCTTTTGGCTTGCCTCTTTTGAGCTCTTGTTTCCACTACAGCTCAAGTTACTTCATATTGTCTTTGAGCGCCATATCGGAATTTCTGTCTGAACGCCATTAAGGTTTGTGAGCCCGCTGCTGTGTTCATCGGCTCGTCACAGCGTGTGGGCGGCATGTCTGCCCTCTGATGAACTTATGCCACCCTGCCCACGGGCTCCTGCTCCTCAGTTGTGATTCATACATTTTCACTGTCAAGACAGACAGACACACACACACACACACACACACACACACACACACTAAACACAAATACATTCGATGGAGACGAATGCTCACTCCCACTTGCACATTGCTGTGATGTACATACTGAACACACAAACACATGCTGAGTAGAGCAACGGAGCACGATACCAGTGGCCTTTGTTCTACTGTGCTCACAATGATGATGCTAATTAGCATGTGTCCACCCCATCACAGCTCAGGCTGACTCGATTGGCCGCATGTCAGAATGACAACCTTTGTGTGACGGATGGATCCAGAAATAAACCACACACCCTTAGGTCCGGTGAGCAAAGCACAGCGCTAATATTCATCCACTTCATATAGACACAAATAGCTGGCAGATTTGGTTTAATCAACTCAAAAAACCTAAAAAGTACACAGCTGGTCCTTGGAGACACATGCAGTCGATATTATTCATTTCAGAACCACCTGAAATTTCATGAATGTTAGCCGTCCATTGGTATTTGTTAGCCACCTTAATACTGTCTTTATAAGGCTCAAATTGATTTCAAACATTTAAAGGGAAAGTGTCCTATTTCTCGTTAAATACAAACTGGTGATGGTCATTAACGTGGCGCCAAACAGTTTTCAAGTTCAAGATGAAAGAGAAAACATATGATTTACATGCCAGATCATTGGTTTACTTCATACATGTGTATGGAATGTATGTGAGCATGTATGTATTTATACGTTCAATACATTTGGGGGAAAATGTGATGTGTCCAAAGCCGCTGGTCACTGTACCAGATCCAACTGTTTCAAACCATTCATTCATACTGTCTCTTCATTAAATCTGCAGATTAGCTTGTTCCTGCACAGCATGCTCCCACTCCTCAGCACCAACCAAACAAATAAAGACACATCTGCAATCTCTCCATTACTGCATATTTGTGCTCGTTAAATCAATCACAGAAAACATGTGTTAAAACATGTGTTGTGGTCTGATAATTCAGATATCCTTATCTTACCCCAGCCGGAGTCTGCCATATTCGAGGTGAATCATTCTGCCGTCTGTGTGTTCAATTAGACATGAGCATCACGTAACTCATCCATCCCATGATGCATAGGATCAGGCTGAGGTGCTGCTGACTGACTGAGTGTAGCAAAAATGGCTGTATAGACTCTTGCATGCTCACGCACAGACACAGAGGGGCTGTTCTCAAAATAGCATTTTCTGGTCACAGTATTGGTGGATTTCACGCACACAAAGCCATGCTTGCTGTTGGAGGTTAAATTAATCAAAATCAACTGAGAGGGGAACAAAGGATAGTTAACAAAGGGGCGTGTTATCAGCAAAGAAACACATGGAAATCTCCAAAAACAAACCGCAATCCTGCTGCTACAGTATTCAGTTAAAATACAAAATGAGTGATATGGGTAATTTTAAAAGATGGACAATTCATCCTAGGTGCTTAACTTCAACAGCAGCTCTTGATTTGAAAAATGTATTCTTATTTGGCTTTACAGTGAATAAAAATGTAATGAATGAAGTGAGGTCGGCAGCAGAATCAAGGCTACGATATTTATTTCCTCCAGAGGTATCTGTTCCTTCAGACTTTCATTGTGAGGCGAGAGGAAGGGGCCGCCAGCTCTGTTGCAGTCTAAGCTCGCAGGAGAGAGGACTGCTGCTAAATGCAGAGCAGCTTGCGTGTCCCCAGCAGTGTAACAGGATCTGGGAGAGGCCAGCAGGCCATTATCGCCACCGCTCTGTCTGGTCAACAAAGTCGGCGAAAGCTCCGTCTCCCCCAGCGGTAAGTGCTAAACACCTCCTCCGAGTGCACAGCGAGCTACTGTGGGGTTTAGATGTGCCCCGTATCCAATGCGCATTCAGAGCGGCTGTGTTGTGACAGTGTTTACAGAGGTGGTTACATAGTTCAGACAGTAAACACAAAACTGTTCAGACAGTATCAATTCATTTTTTGGAAAATGCGGAGCGGTGCCTTTCTTTTCTTTAGTTACAAATCAGAAAAAAAGACCCAGATCGTCACTTACAGCTTCAACAAATGTGAAAATAAATGAATATTAACAGCTTCTTTAAATGTAATAGTACAAGCGAGGAAGGCTTTTTGTAATCTTGCATTCTTTTTTGTTGAGCGGCACGAAGGCTCTCGCTGTGGCAGTGCTTGTTTCCATCATCTATGCTGTCCGGTGTGTATCGATGAAGGATGGGGTCACAGTGTGTGCTCCGGCTGCAACAATCACAGCCCTTCGAGTTTATCAATGTAACAGTGGGAAAGGGCCTTTGTCTGACCATGGACACAGCTACACTCCCGCGTGACAAGACGAATAGCTGAGAAAGCATGGAAATACTATGTAACATGAATTCAGTGACCAGTCGACTGTGCGCTTGTGAAAAACGCTGTCAAAGGAAGTGTCTGCAGCCGTAACCAACTGAGTGGCAGCCAGTCAAGATATACGACCTCTGCTGATACGTATGTGGAACGTTCCTCAACAGTCCGCCGTAGCAGGGGAGATTCCTTTAGAAGCAATAAAATCTCCAAACATAGCCTCATAACAGCTCTGATGAGTATGCAGGTGCATCTGCCGCTGGTGGTACATTGCGATACGCTACATTTATAGCAAGTCCAGTTGAGCCGCGTATCAGCTTATCACAGAGCCGGTGCTTTATTTGTGTGTGTGTGTGTGTGGAGCATGATAATACCTGTGCTACGTAGAGGTGTTATTTTCACTGTGTTTCAACGACGATGTGTGCGTGAGTAATATATATGCAAAAAAACATCGTCCCAAAAGCAATTGAAACCTCGGTCTCACCTGCTGCACAACTACACGGTCCCCTGTAGTCAAAGAGAAAAAGCACTTGATCCCTGCTTACTGGCTGACATGCAGGGATCAGTGCTATGAGATTTACTCCGACGGATGTTTGGCTCTCGCTGATTGCCCGTAGATTAGTGTCACGTATCAGTGTGTTGAAATAGTGGACTTGAGACCATTAGGGTTTGGTAGCATATTAATGATCAAATCCTTAAGAATAGCAATTGGGCAAAATGAGCACTGATGGTTTGAGAGATGAGCAGCTGAATGTAAAAGGAAACTGTGGGAGGACAATCAATGATAATGAGTCTCCACCAAGGCCTTTGTCAGAGAGGCTGAGAGACACATAGAGAGAGAGTGTGTGTGTGTGTGTGTGTGTGTGTGTGTGTTCAGGAGACAAATAGAGATTGAAGGCACAATATCTCTGGCTTTTGTACTACAGTAGAGCAGAGCGGAAATTTTCTATATGCATAACAGTAAACTGATGTCATTTTCTGAACTTACCGGACTGCTCTGGCTGTCTTATTATTTGTCTTATTATTCGCCTTCTACCCACTTAGTCATTATGTCAACACATTGCTGATTATTTATCAAAAATCTAATTTTGTAAAAGCACCAATCGTCCAAACAATACATTTTGATCGTAATATTGATTTCAAGGTATTTCATAAAAAACATATGAATGAATAACCATGAATAGGAGCGGGTATCCTGGACATTTTGAACAAGATAGTATTCAGATTTGAAAGGTGAATTTTGCTCAAAGAAATAGCTTTAACAAGTAATAAATTCACTTTTACAGTTGTTATGGATTGGTGATGTGGGCACATTTAAGTCTGTGACAAAAAAAAAGAAAAGTTTACTGCCAAACAATAGTTATGACAATGACATGACTTATATTAGCTATTTTCTTCTATTTCAAAGCTAAAAGCAATCAAGACTTTATGAAATGTCAATGCAAATGTGACACTTTTATAGTTTATTTTCATAAAAGATGCTCATGGGGTGGAATAGAATAAATAAAGACAATAATTGAATGGAAAAAAGGGTGCTGTTTGTATGTGGTAAATGTAAATGAATGGAAGTGTGGCTCGTCTTTCCTCCCCAGCGGGCTCAGAGACACATCAGTGCACAGAGGCATGACTGAACTGTCTGTCAGTTGACAGGGTCTGGAGAGAGAACTCCCACACACTCCCATTATAGATTCACGCACTCATACACACACAACAAGCAAGCAAGCACACAGCATCATACTCATGACACTCTGTCTTATGGCCATCACTGAAATAAACATGCCATCACCGTAGGCCGTGTATAAGATGTGGTCACCGTTTCGAGGCCACGAGTTCGGCATTTTGGCTGTCGCCATCTTGTTTTTTGCGACCAGTCATGATGACAATGTTTACTGAGGTAATAAATCAAGTGAGAAGTAGAGTCATTTTCTCATAGACTTCCATGCAATCTGACCTATTTTCTAACCAGAGGCGTCGCCCCCTGATGGCCATTAGAAAGAAGGCAAGCTTAAGGCACTTTCGCTTCACTTTTTAGACCCGTAGGTTGCTGCAATATCCTCTCTCTTGCTCTCTTTTTAGTCAATCAGACAATTCAGTCAATTCAGTGCAGCGCCAATATGTGCAGAAGAGATTGGATACCAATCCCGTTGCTCTTAACTAGGGTTTTCATCAGGGGGATTAGCCGCAGGGCAAATGGCAGTTTGCACTAAGAGGTGATTAAAGTAAACGGGTATATGGACTCATTGATTTTTATAAAAGAAACTGCAGCACCATTTGTCATCAGTCAAAGACAAGCAATTGATTAGCGTCACGCATCGATGTAATCTCCAGGCGAGCAGCAGCAGCTTCAAGGATTGAAAAAAGGCGCAGCAGAGAGAGAAAACCAAAAAGAAGCAAAGAGAAGGTAAGCATGATGGACACTGATGGGTTTAGGTTTGATTCTTTAGTCAATTACTTAGGTTATCCCTGCACACAGATGAATTCCCCCAGTGTGAAGCTGGCCATCTCATTACCGCTCATGGAGGAATCGAAGGCGATGCTCCCTCTCTCTCTTTGGCCTACCTCAGAAATGGCTTCCTGTTCCCAGCTAACGTGAGACCGGAGCTGCTGGATGAGGATGACTGAGGAAAAGAATGACTGAATGAATGAACAGATGAAATAGAGACTGTGATGAACAGAGCGGCCTGTGTCGCAAAGGGGAGAGTTACCCAAGCGCGTCCGGAGATGGCTATCTTGGTGAAAAGGCCAGAGGTAGCACAATGGCGCACCTGTGCAGGTAAAGTTCCTTTAGTAGATCCCCAGCTAGAACGTCTCAAACAATTTACTCAGGAAAAGCTTATTCTTCCTTCTTCTTTTGTATTATTTTAGCTTGGTAATGATAAGAACTAAAAACAACAACATGGGGGTGAAGTCTGCTTTATGTTTCAGCCAAAACAAATAAGAATCATTTTTCACCCTTAGCGTCACAAACAAGCTGTTGCATCCAATAATATAGGACATTCACAGGGTTCTGTTATTGAATTTGGTGAAGTCAACTCTGTGCGCTGCACGTTGTATCAAAGAAATTCAAACAGAAGACTATTGGTTAGATGGAATCACAAAGTCTCATTGAATCACAAATCAATTCAGACATATGTCAACAGGAGAGGAAGACAAAAACAAAAGCAGTATATAACAAAACAATGGCAGAAGTATTGCAATTGACTTATCTAAAAAAGGACAACAATGTAATGTTTATATACCAATATAAAGGTTGCGTTGAAGGAGGTTTGAGATGTATGACTGGGAGAAGAAATTATTAGATATTATCACAACTGAGCTGCGAGTAGCTTTACTGGAATCAGAAAGTGTGACATTTTGTTAACACGCTTTCATGTCATGGCCCACATGTGTTTATATCAACGGATTTTAAAAGGAGACATGGTTATATTTCTTTCATACAATTAAGTTAAATCAGTTTGTGCTTTAAACTTGCATTCTTTCTAATAGCCATCCTCTTATTGTAAAAATAAGTCAGACTGGTCTGGTTGCACAGAAAAACAAGATGGCGACAGCTGCAAAACAGTAGTTTACAAACCAATGGGTGAGATCACGGTCACTACTTTCGCTTTTATATTTACAGTCCATTGGAGTGACAGAAACCAAATCTTTCAACCATTTATCCATTCATTTTGGCTAATTATTTAAACAGTTAATGTCTTATTTTTAGCTAGCTATTTGAACTATTTATCCATTACTTTTAATTAATTATTTCAAATGTGTATCTACTATTTTTAGTTATGGGGGCATAACACAAGATTGACAGCATTTAAATAACCTCTCAACGGCTCTCATCATGGCAACAGCTGAGCCGCGACTCATAGCTAACGGTGCTAACAGCGCTAAGGAGAAACTCAGATAACAACACAAACAGAGGGAAAAGGACTGCACTCTCTGCTCAGGTAGACATTACTCCACTATATCTTTGCTTTAGGCTAATCTTTAAACATTTATCCGCTAACTATCTCTGTGCTAGCCTTCTAACTTGGTTTCATGCACCCTCAATGGCTTTAAGGTTGACTGTGTTTACTGTGCAGGTGGCGTATTGTAGCCGGTGGCAAGATAAAAGGTACATTTACTAAGTATCAGATCGATCTGACTAGCAGCCATGAATCTTGACTGTAGCTCGTTTAGCCTGCCACTGCCAGGTGACTAAAGTCTACAATCAGTGGCTCTTAGCAGCACTACTATCAACTGCGCTCTGTCTGGATTTAGCTGTTCTTCAATGCAGAACAATCAATCAGTGTGAATATATGGGACTGGTTGCTCTTTTCAGCCATCAATAGGGATCCCAATAATCACTTAGCATCCAGATATTTGACTACACTGGGTATAGACCAACTCTTATTTAGCTTTATTCACAGGCCCTGATTGGTTTGTTGGTTTTTAGTTTGAAATGAGGCGTAAGTGATATCAGTCTTCTCAAA